GGGCTGCAGGAGGCCACTGCAGCCAAAAATGGAGCTCAGGAGCCTGTTTTCATTGGCAGAGAGCTTGGGCCATCACAGATGCCCCCGACATGGGTGATGTGGAGCTGGCCAGGCCCACCCTGGCCAGGCCCACCCCAGCCCCCAGTCAAAGACAAGCCTGATGCGGCTCTCAGTGAAATCGAGTTTGACATCCCTGATCTAAACTGTGGGATACAAAACAAAATGATTGATTTAAGACAACATACTAAAACAAATCAAAGTATGCATGAAATAGAGGAGAAATAGTGCTGGAATAAAATAATCCAGCTTAAAACATTCCACCTAAGCATTCCAATTGATTGTGTTCTACTAAAACAATAATTCAGGTTTTTTTTTTGCCCATATGAGGCATCAGAACTTAAAACAAACTGCTTGCTCTCTTGACTTTTTATGGAGGCCTTCATGGATGTGGAATGGTAATCATTACTAAGGGCTACCTACCACCCAACTTACAGAAAAATTGACAGTGTGAATATTTTTTATATGTGGATATATTTAAAGTTTTTAACTTTAACACCATTTTTGCATTTATGGAGTCCCCAAGCCTAAAAACTCAAACATTAGAGACACTTCTATCATGCATATATTGCTTACATTTTTGCTAAAAGTATTTGGCTTTTGTTTTGTTTGGAAAGGTATGACAAGAACGAAGGTACTTATGCAGTTTGGGAACTTATTTCCAAGCATAGTATAGGCTAGAGTTTAGCTTTTAAATTTTTCTCATTGGAATACCAAGAGAGTTGTATGCTGAATGGGCAACCATACAAATTGAAATAATTAATAAAATAATGAAATACATGTATAAGTTACACCTTAGGTTTTTCTGAATCTGTCTCTCTCATTCTTCCAATAGCAGTTTTTTGTATGTTCTTTTTCTTAGGCAGATATATTAAAAGTTATAGGAAACAAATTGCAAAGGATTATGCAGCTGTACAGTTTTATAATCTTGGCTTCTTTTTTAAACTCCTAATTCATTTATTTTTCAACAATTTTATACCATTCACTCTGGAGACTCTGCTTCAAATCTTGGACGCTGATGTTTCATCAGATTGGAGTGCTTTGATTATTTATGAGCAGATCCTGTATAAAGAAAGTAAGTGACTACAAAGAAGGCCAAACAACATGGAAAGTAAAATACACTTTCCTTAATTAGGGATTGCTGCATGGGGAAATAAAACTATTTGCTTTGCTGAATTTCTTAGAATTGCTTAGGAAAGGCAAATGAGAGAATAGGAATTCAATGATGTTGAAAGCTCTTCTGCTTTCCAAATTTGCTCTAGTAGTTTGAATGTGTATTTGGACACATTTCTACATATGCATGTGCATGTTTGTTGGTGGCCAGGAATTAATTTGCTATGCCTATAAAATAATGAAGGTAAAGTTTAAAGCCAAGCATAATGAACTATGCCTAGTCTTAAATATGCCAACTTTCACCATAGCAGTTGAACTAAATCAAAAGGTAGTTCTGGTTTTAAACAGTATATCATTGCACTATTATGGGTTTATTCTCTTCTCCCTTGATTTTTAAATGTTGGCAGTATATTAAATTTAGCAAATATACTTTATTACATTTAATCATATCATTTCCAAACTGCATATAATTTTACAAAGTTACAATAAAAAACCCCAGTGAATCTTTCAGATCGTTAACATGTACAAAGAATTATAATTTTTTACTGACCAAGTGTGATTGGGTATCCAAGAAATTTAGCTATATTGCATAAGCTCTCAGTGTACATACAAGCCACATAAGAAATAACTGAAGTCTAAAAGCAAGCCATTCTGGTACATGAGATGAAGCATGTTGCACTTTGAGCACCGTGTTTCCAAAACTTCTGACATTTGAAGGTTACCAGGTTGGATAAGGTTAGTGCAAGAGAATGAATTAACATTACCTCAGCATATGTTGATAGAATAATTTCAATTTTTAATTTGTAAGATTGATATGCAAAATATTCTGGCATCTATATTCATAGAGTCATTGGGTTTGAAAGGACCTTGAATGTCTTCTACTCTAAGCACCATGCCCAGTTTAAGAATCTTCACATCATTCTAAATAACATATTTTATTTTATTTTCTTGAGAGCCTCCAGTGATGGGCTATCCACAAATTCAGGAAGAAGGCTTTTCTATTGCTTAATATTTCTCACAATCAGGAAATGTTTCCTTAGTTCAAATTTGGATCTCTCACTTCCACCCACTGGTTCCTTCCTTGCCCCCAGGTGCTAGGGAAAATAAATCTATTTCTGCCATGTAACAGAAAACTGCTATCTGTAGAGGACTAAGGGAATAACCCTGAAGGACAGAAGGAAGAGTAGGCAATGGTTAGAAAAAAGAAACCTGAGTCCAGGGCAGAACTGCAAACTTCCTTACATATTGGCACCATGTTGGCTCTTCTCCAGTTTTCTGGATGTTCCCCTGTGCTCCAGAACTTCTCAAAGATTTCAGTTGGTGGCTCTCTGACGACATCTGCCAGTTCCAGATTTGAATTCATTCAAAATTACAAAGTCTCCTCTCAACAATTCCTTACCTATTTTGATCTATATTTCTTGTCTGCTATCCGCAACGCCATTTCTAACAAGTTGGACTGCTATTTTCTTTTGTGAAATAAAAAAAGGAAATAAGCACTTCTGCCTTCTCCCAGTTGCCTGTCACCATCTTGCCATTTAACGAGTGATCCAACTTTCCTTGACTTTCCTCTTTTTCCACCAGACATACTCATAAAACCCTTTTTGTTATTTTTGCATAGCTCAGGCTGAGCCTTGGCTTTCTTGATTCTGGCTGTTTCTTAATATTCTGCTTTTATTGTGTACACTTCTTTCCACTTTTTATACTTGTTCTTTTTATTTCTCAGTTTATCAGATAGGCCAGGCTCGTTCCATTTTCTTCCTCTCTTTGGTGTTTGGGCTTCAATTGTCTCATTTTACAGAATTTACTGAGCTGTTTCACTCTTCAGGATTTCTAGTTACAGAATCATTCCTAATTGTTTCTCTTAGCCTGTTGAATTCTTGAAATTAGAAGACTATTCTGATTATCTTTACTTCTCCCTATCTGCAATATAGTAAAATCTAGGTTGCATCTGGGTCGCTCTCTCCCAAGGTCCCTACCATTTTCACTTCTTTAACCACTTCTTCTCTTTGGTAAGCATTTTATTTTGGTTTGTTTGTTGGTTTATTTCTATCCCACCATTATTATTTTTACAAACAACTCAGATATATCCAACATACCTTCCTCCTCCTATTTTCCCCACAACAACAACCCTTTAAGGTGGGTTGGACTGAGAGAGAGAGAGAGAGAGAGAGAGAGAGAGAGAGAGAGAGAAAGAATGATTGGCCCAAGATCACCCAGCTGGCTTTCATGGCTAGGGCAGAACTTGAACTCATGATCTCTTACTTTCTACTTTGGTGCCTTAACCACTAGATCAAACTGGCTCTCTATTACATCCAATATACTGATTTTCTGTTTCTCTTCTCCATCTTTTGGAAAATGAAGTTGTCTGCAAGGCATGTCAAGAACCTGTTAGATTTCCAACTTACTGCAATTTTGATTCCCAGTTCATGTCAAGATAGAATAGAATAGAATAGAATGAAATTCTGTATTGGCCAAGTGTGATTGGACACACAAGGAATTTGTCTTGGTGCAAGTGCTCTCAGTATACATAAAAGAAAAGATACATTCATCAAGAATCATAAGGTACAACACTTAATAGTAGTCATAGGGTACAATAAGTGCAATAAGTAGTCATAGGGTACAATAAGCAATCAAATCATACTAGGAACAGTCAATATAAATTGTAAGGATACAAGTGATAAAGTTACAGTCATACAGTCACAAGTAGTAGGGAATGGGTGATAAGGAGTGATGAGAAGATTAACAGTAATAGTAGTGCAGACTTTGTAAATAGTTGAACAGTGTTGAGGGAATTATTTGTTTAGCAGAACGATGGCTTTCAGGGAAAAACTGTCCTTGTGTTTAGTTGTTCTGGTGTGCAGTGCTCTATAGCATTGTTTTGAGGGAAGGAGTTGAAATAGTTTATGTCCGAGATGTGAGGGGTCTGTAAATATTTTTACAGCCCTCTTTTTGACTCTTGCAGTATACAAGTCCTTGATTGAAGGCAAGGTGGTAGTAATTGTTTTTTCTGCAGATAGTTGAAATCCTACATTATCATTATTATGGTTCCTAGATGCCTTTGTCATATTGTTTGCAAACATTTCAACTATAGCTTCTGTTTGGTTGGGTCAGGTGGCCTTTAGTATATACCCACTACAATATCATTTGTACTGCTTTTTCCCTTAATCCTCACTCGGATAATTTTGACAGGATTTTGATCTTTGAAACATGAATTTCCATACAGGCATAATTATTCTTGAGATATGATTCAACTCCATCTGTTCTTTTGCTGGGTCTGTTCCATTTGAACAAATTATAATCTGAGGATAAAGGTTTGTTCTCCAAGCTTCTTACCTAGCCAGGTAACCAAACATTCAGAAACTAACCCACAAGCTCGGAGAATGAATTTTTACTCTCATCCTATACCTGAATTACAAATATTCACCACTATTGCAAAACTATAATATTTCTAGTTCTGGATTCCAATCATGAGATGCAATCCACCAAGTTTCAGTTATATGCACAATATCATATTTGCCCTCCTGTACGAGGATTTTAAATTCTATCAAAGTGTTCCCTATACTCTGTGCATCGATGTACAGGCAACTGAACCAGTAGTGGGATTCAAAAAATTTTTACTACTGGTTCTGTGGGCATTGCTTGGTGGGCATGACAAGGGAAGGATAGTGTAAAATCTCCAGTCAGGGGTTCTCTTTGCCAGTTCTCTGAACTACTCAAAATTTCTGCTACTGGTTCTCCAGAACTGGTCAGAACCTGCTGAATACCACCTCTGAACTGAACTATTTACTTGCTTAGCCCTAAAAGGCTTAGCCCTTCTTAAGATTCAGCACTACATCTTCTGCTGATCTTATCTATTGCTCTCTTTGAGTATTTCCTTTCTTGCTGTAAAGTTTATGACCTTTGGTATAAAGGTATGTTTCTAGATAATGGTTTCCCTCTCTGTCCTGAGTTAGTTTAAATTCAGAAATTTCTAATTTATAGTTGGCACAATGGCACTAATGATTGTGATCACTTGGGTTTTTCTATTTTACCCTTTAAGATTCCTATAATTGAGCCACAGTGGTGCAGTGGTTAGAGTGCAGTACTGCGGGCTACTTCTGCTGACTGCCGGATGCCTGCAATTTGGCATTTCAAATCTTACCAGACTCAGTGTTGACTCATCCTTCCATCCTTCCAAGGTGGGTAAAATGAGGACCCAAATTGTTGGGGGCAATAGGCTGACTCTGTAAATCACTTAGGGAGGGCTGTAAAGCATTGTAAAGGATATATAAATCTAAGTGCTATTGCTATTGCTATGTTATCCATCACATACAGGCAATACAAAAATTAATCATGTACTATATCTATGATATTTATGTCTCAGCAGGTAGCTTACCTAGCTAATATTGCTAAGCAGGGTTAGTCTGGTTTGTACTTAGATGGCAGATTTCCAGGGAGTTTCAATGCTCCAAATAAATGAATGAATGAATGAACGAATAAACACTTCCATACTATTACAAACCAAATTACATAAATGTCTCCATGAAGGCTTCCTAAAACAAACTTGATTTGAAAGCGATCTTATCAATTTTTATTTATTACACAAACACACTTGATAAGGAGTTATTTTTAGATAAGGATGGGGTGGATAATGTACCATGAAGCACCTGAATTCCAACAGACAAGTTATTTACCAAACAAAAGGCTGCTTGTTGGAGTGTACGGCCATGTCATTTTCTATAGTCAACAAGCATGTTCATTGAGAGTAGGAATTTAATTTTGACTTTACACATACCCTATACAATTTATCTGGTCTTTTCTTTTACATAAGCTTCCGTCACACACTCTAGACATAAGTTGGATTTACTATACAAAGAAGGACTTGACAATTGCCTCTGCCTTCACCATTCATGTATTTAATGTGAAAATATGCATCTATATCTAGGCAGTCATATAAATTTACTAAATAAATATATTTTAATGATGACTGTTTCTTAATAATTGTTGTTATATATTTATTGTTTTTTAAAGGTTGTATCCTATCCAGAGTCAATTTGTGTGAGACGGGGAGTCATATAAATTTACTAAGTAAATAAATAAATCTATGATCAGAATTCCTGACAGAATAAGGCCCTAGTTTGGGATGTAGCTATTCACAGATAACTGCCACTTTGCCACAAAGTCAGTCATGTATCTTGAGAACTAAAGTGCACTTGTTTGAGATTATAATGAGAGAACCAGTTTGGTATAGTGATTAGGGCACCAGGTGAGAACTGGGAGATTGTGAGTTCTAGTCTTATCTTAGACACAGCCGTCTGAGTGACTTTGGACCATTCACTCACTTTCTCAGCCTTACAAAGATTATCATAAAGTCAGTTACTGTCTAAATAATCTTAAATAGCCTAATTATTTTATAAAAGCTTAAGGATGCCAATTTCATCTCATAACAGGACTCCACTGTCTTTAAAAACTATGTGCAACCCAAATTTGTCAGACCTAGCTTTTCCTTTTATTGCAATTAATAGAAAAACTTCACTTGCATTTCTTTTCTGCTTAATCCATACAGATATTCTGTCAGGATTTAGTTGGCAAACCAGAATACAGATTTGCCCACCTCAGTGGTGGGATTCAAGTTTTTTTACTACCGAGTCTGTGGACGTGGCTTGGTGGACATGGCAGGGGAAGGATACTGTAAAATCTCCAGTCAGCGGTGGTATTTGCTGGTTCTCCAAACTACTCAAAATTTCCGCTACCAGTTCTCCAGAACTGGTCAGAACCTACTAAATATCACCTCTGGTTCACCTCTGATAGCATAACATCTTATAATCTCTGTGGTACAGATTTTTACAATGTCCTTTCTGTTTTTAGACAACATAGTTTTTTTCATCATGTTCAGAAAACAGAGCCCTGCTTTCAAAGGATTCCAATTAATAATAATCTATTAAATAACTCCCTGGTTCTTTAATGAATCCACACACATACACACACTGCAAATTGTCAGTTAGCTGGTTGCGGACAAACCCAATTGTTAAATCATAAGGAAAATAAATAAAAAGCAAATATATCCACTCAAGTCTCTGTGTAGTTCAAAATAGATTAAGTTTAAAAAGGCTATGGGACTAGAGAAGGGCAAGATGACAAGTGGAAGATATAAGCTGATTCTATAGCAAGGAGACTAGAAAATTGAAATTCATTTTACAACACTAATTCAAATGTCTTGACCAGGATGGGATTTAGTATATAATAGAGAGCAAACAAAGACAGATGAGACCTTTTGGAGGTTCCACTTATGTACACAGTTGCAGTCTGCATGGATACACATATATGAAATGTTATATGTGTGCATTTTTAGAACACTTAGAATGAGTTGAGATGGTTAACAAAAGTAAAGGCTCCAGAATTCTGCAAATGTTGGACAGTTGCACAGGATGATGATGTAAATATATCAATAAAGGCAATATGGTGTGTGTGTGTGTGTGTGTGTGTGTGTGTGTGTGTGTGTCGAAGGAAAAGGTGTGGGGGAGGGGAGGATGGTTGAAATAGCAGAATTTAAAACATCCATAGAGCTCCTATCCCAGCCAGGGGATGTAACGATGGCAACCGACAGTCTCACTGTCACAATAAAAATATAGTATTCTTTTGAGAGCTCTCAAAAGGGAAATATGCATTTTGTTGAGGAGTATGATGAAAAAATGGGGCAGAAAAGAGGAATGGTGCTGCAAATATAAGCCTGTTAATTCTTCAGGAAGAGCAGCTGCTTCCTAGTACAGCGGTTACCTGGCTGATTAGCATGGTTTCATGTCACAACATCTGAGAGTGTGAAAAAAAAAAGTTAGAATTTGCCCAGTTTAAACAACAGACTCAGAAGGATGCTTTAATTGTTCAATATATATGTGGAATTCTAACTACTTTAGTGCCTTTCACAGCAGCCTAATTTCTGTATGCCCATAATTAATTTACTGCTTTTCACATTTTTGAACCCCAATTCATTATATCCCAAGACAGCATGAAAGTAGTGTAATATTACCAGAGAAAAAGCTACGTAAGATTAGGTTAACAATTCTTAACGCCTTTTTGGCTATGTAGTTACAGTGGGCTCTAGCACTTAGATAATTAGAGATGAGTACTCCAAGATCCTTGACAGAGTTTGGATCCTCAACAAGGTCTTGACTATTCAGCCTGTATTTTATTTTCTGATTTTTTTTTTGCCAATATGTAGGACAGAGCATTTATTTGTTGAGATTTGAAGTTGCCGTTTGTTTGACCATTCTGATACATAGTCAAGGTCTTTTTGAGGAGTAGCAGTATTGTCTGTGGTGTTGAATAGCTTTACATCATCAGTGAAGAGAATGCAGTTGTTCTTGATATGATCACAGAGGTCATTTATGTAGAGTATGAAAAGAGTTGGTTGTAGAACACTGCCTTGGGGACACCACTGTTGACAGGTACAGAATTTGATGGGACACTCCCAATTCTGACCATTTGTTGTCTGTTTGACAGGAATGCTTCTATCCAGTTATGCAGGTGTCCAGAGATATCATAAGATTTTAGTTTTAGGAGTAGTTTGTTGTGTACCACTGAATCAAAGGCTTTACAGAAGTCTATGTAAATTGCATCTATTGCTTTGCCCTGATCAAGTTGTGTAGTCCATATGTTTTTGCAGTGTAAGAGTTGCAGATTACAGGATAGTTTTTTCCTGAAACCAAATCGTTTATTAAAGAGTAGGTTGTTTGTTTCTAAGTGGAGGATGATGGATTGGTTAATAATTGATTCCATGACTTTACAGGTGACTCAGCATAAAGAGATTGCTCTGTAATTTTCAACTAGGCTGGGGTCTCCCTTTTTGAAGATGGGGATGACCGTGGCTTGTGACCATAGTTTTGGCAAGGAGCTGGTCCTGAAGAATTTATCAAAGATTATGCTTAGAGGTTCGGCTATGGCAGTGGTTAGCTTTTTTAAGAAGTAGGCATATATTCTGTCCGGTCCAATAGATAGAGATGGTTTTAGATTGCGTGGTGCTTTTTCAACATTGTCTTCTGTAAAATCAATATGTATTAGATCATTTAGTTGTCTGTAGTTCAACTAGGAAATACTGGGCATGATCCATTGCTGTTTACAAATACCGAGCCAAAGAATGTGTTAAAGAAGTTGGCTTTAATAGTGTCATTGTTGCAGTCTTTACCATTAGGTCCTTTCAGGGGTGGGATGGATCTTGAGTCTTTTAGTTTGTTGTTTACAAATTGTAGAAAGCGCGGGTGGAATTGGTACATAGAAGGTTTTCTTCTTGTTTAATGTGATAATTGGTGCATTAAGTTTTTTTCTGATAGCATACACTTTTGTATCGGCTTTTGAAGTTGGCAACATGACCAGGTTTGTTTTTCCGCCAAAATGATTTCTCTTTGGATTGACGCTTCCTTATTGTTATGAGTAATTTGTTTTTTTCTGGTTTGGGGAGTTGTTAATGGTACATATAGTTTGATGACTCCTTTGACTTCAAGTAAAAATATGTTGTAATGGTCTTCTACAGTATTGCATCCAGTGAATAGAAATTGCCAATCAAGAGATGAAAGATCGTTGTCTATAAGATCATAGTTGCCTTTTTTGAAGTTATAATTGGGACTATTGGCATTGTACCAGCCCCCCTCCCCCCCATTCATAGCCACCTTCCTGCCAGAGCTCTTTGACACCATTTTAGGGTTGGCAATAAAATTTCCCAAACTTATGGTTTAGGGGACATTACTATGCCTTCTCAAATCTAAGTTGATTTGGGAGTTTATGGCCACCATGATGGCCATGAGCGTATCATAGTTCTTCTAGAGCCTGAGACAGGACAGGCATCACATTCTGGTTATGTGATCTGAAATTGGGGAAGCTGTTGGCGTCTCCCTTGCCATGGTCTCCATGGGATTCTCTTGCCTCTTATTCAGTGCAGGGAGGCTAAACCATGGCCACATCAGATGACGTGACAATAGAGACATATTTCAGCTAACTTAGTTTTTACTTATTCAGCAGATTAGTAACAGAGGTGAGGCTATGAGCTTATAATCCCCACTGCCATGAAATTGGCACTGCTGAGGCCATTGGGGTAATGGCCTCTATCTTATGAAACAGTTTTCCCTTGGGAAATGAGATTAGCTTTTAGAATATTATTATCTTCTGGAAACAACTAAAAATACAGTTCTTCCAGATGACTTTTTAAATTAGTTGAATGAATTTCATATGAATGTTTATGTTTACATTGCTCTGTGTAGGTTATTGTTTTTTATTTTTGTATTATATTGTCACTATTATACTGTGGATATTTCATATTTATAATTATTTTTACACTCCTAAGAGTAACAAAATTGCAGCAATCTAAAAGCATGATAGAGTTATAGATGGATAGACAGATATTTCTTGGTCTATAGTAGTCTGATCTGTTTCCTGGATGATTTTTTAAAACTGTTGAACTATTGTTGAGTGACAAACTTCCGCCCACAATTCTTTTCAAGACAGCGATTGGGACTTCAACTATTTTAACAGATGAAGCAAAAATCCAAAGTATAAGGTATTAAACTCATTGCTATTCTGGACACTGCCTAACTGCATTTAACCAGCATGTTCCAAAATAATGCTATATAACATTTTTGCAAAAGGATTTGAGAAAGAAATTGTAGCTGTCAGTGATTCCTCCCCCACCTTAAAATAATGAGCAACCTTGAAGTGAGGGGTGTGTGTGGAAGCAAGTGACTTCAAATGCATCATGATGGCATTGTGTAAATGGCACCATTTATGCTATCTGCATCATTGAGTGATGCTATCATGACACATATGGCATCACTGCAACTCATACTTATGCCCAGTGTGTCTCTTTGAAATATCAAGTGTGATAATTCTGTACCTGGGTAAGGTGACACAAGCAATATAAATTTTACTACAAAGGCACCCATGAGCAATCCTTTCCCTGTATGTCATATTGTAATATCAGTGAACAGTTGATTGTGCATAGGAGCAGCACAACTTTTTGTAGCAATGAATTAGGTACAAAATCTTCTATCTGAACTAAAACCCTAGAGCCATAGACTTTCTCACCTCACTACTGTACATAGTAGTACAGTACAATGACTTGGTGTGTGTGTGTTTGTGTGTGTTCACTGCTACTTACATGCAGAATTTTGTATTTGCTTACATCTAGCAGAACTACAGCAATACCACAATGTAGCTTAGTCCCATTTAAAGTCATTCTGAAGGCAGGAATAGCAATGGGCAATAGCACTTAGATTTACATACTGCTTCACAGTGCTTTACAGCTGTCTCTAAGAGTCAGCATATTGTCCCCAACAATTTGGGTCCTCATTTTACCAACCTTGGAAGGATGGAAGGCTGCGTCAATCTTGAGCCAGTGAGAGTCGAACTGCTTGAGGTTGGCAGAATTAGCCTGCAAGACTGTATTCTAACCACTCAATCACCACAGCAGCAACATTATAGACAGACAGACAATCAGATAGATCAGATAATACTGGGGAGATCTCATTTTTGCTCTTAAAAATTATCAGATAGGTTTTCCATGCTGTCTTTTCTTATTCTCTTTCAACTGAATTGCCAACAATTCAGTTCATGAATATTTTTGGCCTATTATATTCCCCAAATATCAAAAAGTAGCAGAAGACATTTTGGAGACATCATCTTCCACCAAAATAATCTGAATTTCATGGGATCTACTGCAAAGTTCAAATCACAGAGAACATGCTGGGCATCGTGAACCCCTGAGCTAATCTATGCTCCCTTCAGCCACCAATAGGAGACTGCAAATATTTTATTCAATGAGTGATCTACACTCTGAGACCCCACAGGTGTTTCATGCAAGGCAGACATGGAATTAATTGCTAACCATGTCCTCTCCTTCATATACAAATGATCATTTGTAAATTTCCAGGAGATCTTGGCACTATTCATCTACAGTCTTTAAAAACCTTTGAATCAGAAATGATAGCATTTGGCTTAAGGAAAGAAATTCATGAAGCCAGACAATGGGATGAGTCTGCAATTCCTGCTAATAGCAAAACAACTCTCCCACTACTACAGAAGGTCAGCAGGATTGCAAAGAAAAAGTTAGGTTGTTAGAGTTTCAACAAAGGCAAGAGGTCCAGAAAAAAAAATCCCTCTGCCCCCCAGCCCCCCACCCCACATAAATCAGTTCTCAAAATTAGTTGACAGCCCATGGTTGGCCAGGCTAACCTGATTTCAAGCTGGTACAGAGTTCTTATGTGGAGGTGTCCTTAAATTTCATAGTTGTATAGAAGAGTTTGTCAGTCATTTTACCAGTGAATGAACAGATAAGTTGAGCAAGATGGACCAACAATTTGATTATGCTGTAAATTTGTTTGTTTGCTACAAATCTAGCTTCCACTATTTTCTGAATAACACCTGCTACAATTTCAAAGGTGCAAAAACTCATCTAAAACAAAATTACCATTCTTTTATGCATCTCTTGGAGGAGTCTTGCCCAGCCTGCTAGATATGGCGCACCAATTCCTAAACTCTTTAGCTAGCGTGTTTTAATTCCTTGGGAAGAAGATGTCATCCAACATATCTGGAAAATCCTGGATTTGTAGAAACATTCTTTGCATTGTTCAGATGTATTTGTCTTTGGCAATGAAATCTTGTAGGTAAAATCTTTCAGTCATAATATGCCTGAGCAATGCAAGTCTTTCTGTTGCAGGCATCTATGCATGCATGCAAACATAGGCAAACCCATATGAGAATTCTGGGAACATACTTAAAGGTGTTGGCATATTTCTATCTGGAGGCACTTACTACAAAGATTTACCAATTCTCTGACGTCTCAAAGGCCCAGAAGAGGATTCCCTTGCTTGCAAAAGATTGTGTGAATAATAAACACAAGGAGTTCCTGCAGTTAAACATGTGGTGTCCTACTGCTCATTCTCATTCACAGCCAGATTAGAACTGCAGGAAGTTAATGACTTTAACCACTTCACACCACTTGGAACAAAGACAGCAGGCTGAAAACCCAGCAGGGGGAGAAAGCAATTTTAACAGGAGATCTCCTTTCCCCGCTCAAGTTCCAGGAGAACCATTAATTTTACAGCTAACTGATGATACACAGGAAGATGACCCATGATGTTACCAAGCAACCAACATTTAGAGGCTCCCTTGTAATCCCGTACAATTTTTATCTCTGCAGAACAGTACAGATTTTAAAAATATGATGGCCACCATGCTTCATTTCTGCCTGTGCCCCACATTTGGTACTGACCTGAAGAGATCTAAACTTTTCCATAGGACCCAAGCTAAACTTAATTGTGGTACACTGTCCAGAGTCACTTTGTGTGAGATGGGCAGCCATCCAGATGTGATAAATAAAGTGTGCAAATTACCATACTGGATGGGCCAAGGGCCTATCTTGCTGAATATTCTGCCTAGAGTCACACCCTGTCAAATAGCCCCACCTGGTTTTTGCTGATGATGAACCACCTGCACCTGACTTTGCAACAATAAAACTACTTCAAAATGGAACAAGCAAACTGAATCTCAGCCTTTCTGCCATCTCTTTGTAGGCAGGTTTTCATTACAAGAAGCCAAAGAGGACAAGAATTATTTGACTAATGGCCCACTGCTCAGGGGAATCCACATTTTGTGGGAATGCCATCCTCTTTCTTCTTTCCTTCTTCTCCTTTCCCTCAGGAACCTTTCGTGTGTCTTACAATGGCAGTTAATTGGAAAAATATTTATTTCAAATTCTTAATTTGACTCAGGTCAATTGTGATCTTTTAATCCTGACACTATATTATTAAAACCAGTATTAGTCCACAACTTTTTTTACCATGTTCACTCTTTTAAATTTAAAATATTTTGAAACTATTTGTACTATATTGCGCCTAGGTATTTTTTTTTGTTTTTTAAGATTTTTATCTTACTGTTACTAGTTTTATAAATAACTCAAAGTGGCACACGTGCCCAATCCTTTTCTTCCTACTACTTTCCCCATAATGACAATTCCAGGAGGTGAGTTGGACTGAAAGAGAATGACTGGCCCAAAGTCACCAAGCTGGGTTTTGATGCCTAAAGAGAGACTAGAGCTCACAGTCTCCCAGTTTCTAAGCCAGCACCTTTATCACTATGCCAGACATACTTAGAACAGTCACAATCCCAAATACTAAAGATAAATATAAATCCACTTTGCATTTCTTGAGGAAGGGTAGAAATGGTTTCAATTCCTTAGTATAATTTTATTTATTTTAGTCTCCACCCCTCACATTAGTTGATTTTCTCCCCTGAGTTTGGATTTGAACAAATATGGCTCTGGCTGAATGGAGAAAACACTGTGAAAAACATCAAGGTAAAGAGATATTTCTTTTTAAATAAGGAAAGACAATTGAGATAATATTTTGATGCTAATTTCATCATTCCATGGGAATGATCTGACAGAGGTATGGACAAAGAAAGAAAAAATGAGTTATGAATGGAACCCATGTATTTGCTTAAACCACTAAAATTCTCATTAATGTTTATTAAATGTGAATTTTTGCCCTGGTCTTATTTTTTGAAGTGCTACCAATAGCAACTCAAACCCAAATGTGGCCCAAAGTCAGAAGAAATTGTGCACTATATGCTAAACCTTTATCTTTTTAAAACAAGCTATAGACCATGAGTATTTTTAACATTAGAATTTAGCATTTAGCATTAGAGTGAAATGATTTAAATAAAATAAAACACAAAAGTCAGACAAGTTTTCTTTCAGCTCTACAATTCCCCAGAAAACTATTTAGATATCTAACTAAACTCTGTATACATTCAGAACACTATTGAAACTTCCTGTAATGTATTCAGGGCCCTGCAGACTAACAGTGACTGTGATTATGCAGTAACTCTTTAAAACCCCACTGTAATCTTCCAGTGAGAGGCTTGGAAATCTGGGGTGGAAGTAGCTGGAGGTTGCTTGTTGCCCCTATATTAAGTTAGCTGCAGGTCCTGAGGACTATCACAATAGTTTCCTGACTGAACCTGGAACTCAAGCCCTCTGTATTATTATCATGCCTTCCAAAACAATGTGGGTCACATTGGAAGAAAAGGGACAAGGGGAACCATTTGTTTAAAATCTAAGTTCTCTCTAGTTTTGCCCCATCAAAATTCTAGAAAACAGGTGAAAGAAAGATAGCTTAACGGTCATGCTTTCATGGCAGTGGCATGAAAGCAATGGCAATTATATTCACCAAATATTCCTGAATTCAAGTAGAGAGCATGGAAGCTGGAATCCCTGGAAGGATTATGGTAGAACTTATTGGATGTTTGAGTTATTTCAAGGGCACACTATATATACATAAGTCATTGCTACCTGATCCATCCTTTAGAGAAGGACTAGAATTCTTGTGGGGTTTTTTTTCTCATGGTTTCACACCTAACTGACCTTGTGAGTGTTGCTGTAAGCTGTCTAGAGTCACTTTGGATAGCGCGATGAATGGCACATACATTTAATAAATAAATAAATTAGCAAAACTGCAGAAGGAAAAATATTCTCCAAAATATGTCAATCGCTTCTTAAAGGCTGTGGGATAGCTCCTATGCTATCAATTCAGAATGTTCTTCTCTGTTATCTGAACCCTCCAACCCTCATCCCTCATCTCCAACATCACACATACCTTTTTCTGGCCTTGGATCTAAGCAGCTCTCTTCAGGTACTCCCCACATTTCTATTTTGCTTCCTCTGTTATAAGTGACCTCAGCTTTATATTATTCCTTTTAAGCTCATTGAGCAAATGTCACCAGCACTTAGAAATCTTTCTGTTTATCCTGCCTCTTGTTCCCATCCTGTCCGTCTTTTGCAGTGCCAGCTCTTAAGGCCTTGAGTGCTGTCAGTCTAAATTAATGCACCTCATAGCCAGGATACCATATTAAGTCATTAATTGTTGTCTTATGGAAATATGCCTTTATTAATTTCCTGCGCTTGTTCCTCTGGTTGTTGAACAGCAGAGCTTTTTGTAAATCAGCAGCAAAGAGCTCAGCGCTCCTTGAGATCCATTAGGTACATACCTTTGGGAGAGTATTATTCATCCAACAAACATTTACATTCATTAAGGAAAGAGCAGTGCCATGTCTCTCCTTGAAATTGGCTTGTTTTTTTTTTTCCCTTCCAGACATCATGCACAACAATGTAGTGTGAGAAGTTTTATATCCAACTATATTCTATTTTTTATACTGTTTCCATATTCCCTTAAAATATTAACAGAATCCACAATGGTTTGACATCAGTGTCTCCACTAGATAATTGACAGTCAAACTGAAATTAAGTTAATCAACTAAAATTAGCTTCTTCAAACCCCCAATAAGTTACCCAGATCTAATCTACATATCAAAGGATAAGGTCTGCAAACACAGTTAATTAAATTAGGTCTCCCAGTAAAACTGCATGTTCATAGGAATATTTATATACACACACACAAACACTGCCCCCCCTCAAGTGTCACCCTTAAATCAGCACATAGACACTTCCACACCCTGGACCAGCTTCCCCTATAAAAATCTATTGCTGCACCCCATTTCTCTTCAGCCCACCCCTAAAGGCAAACTGAAATAAATATGTCTTATTTTCTCACAGCTGGTCTGGACTTCATTTTTATTTATTCTTGCACAGCCTCAGCTTGAGTAGGAACCGCAAATTATTCTTCTGACGGTAGGATGGTTGTGATCTTTTAACCAATGGAAACCCAGTAGGTAGCAGAGGTGGTATTCAGCAGGTTCTGACCAGTTCTGGAGAACCGGCAAATACCGCCTCTGACTGGCCCCGCCCCATCTATTCTCTGTCTCCCGAGTCCCAGCTGATTGGCTGCGTCTTCTTTTGTTGCCCTGCACAGGAGAACAAAGCTGGAAAGCAGGTTAGTGGGGTGGGGAGGGAATGGAGATTTTGCAGTATCCTTCCCCTGCCACGCCTACCAAGCCACACCATGCCCACCAAGCCATGCACACAGAACTGGTAGTAAAAAAAATTGAATCCCACTACTGGTAGGTAGTGTGGGGGTCTTTCACTGATTTCTGCCAAAACTAGTCAAATTCAATGGTAC